AGTAGCCAATTATCAAATGATTTATGAATTAAAACTTGTCGTGATTGAAACAGAGCGTTAAAACTATTAAAGAAATGCAAAGAATATTTTAAAANTAATAAATATGATTTTATATGATTATCATTTAAATCTATTAAAATAATTTCCGCAGATTTTAATTTATCTTCATGAATGGCTAGAGTAAAATAAGCTTTTAAAACTTCCCAATTATTGAGTAGTCTAACTACACATTTATGTAAAACAAGCCATCTAGTACTTGATAATTTTAAAATTTTATTTTTTTCTACATCAAAAAATTCTTGGAATTCTTTTAAAATTGCACATCTCTTTGCACTGCTCGATATTGTAAGTTGCAACTCCTCGAATTACATTTTTACAAGACTGTGGCAATTTCTCGCAAGCTTTACTGGCTATTATCGCGGAAGAATGGCAAATGCAATTTAACATAACTACTCCCGGAATTTCGGACTGTAAACGAGAAAAAAAAGAATTATTGCATCCAATCATAACGGACGCATTGTCGCTTGCCATTCCGACTATATTTTGAATAAGAAATTTATATTTTTCTAAAAGTTTCTTAAATAATTCAAAAATATTATTTGCAGAGCAATCTGTAGCATCTAATGGCAATAATTCTAATAATTGAGTTTTTATTTTTTTATAAAAGAATGAAAAGAATTGTGCGAGAACACATAAAATTTTAGTCTCTGCAATATCCGTGCTTTCATCAATTAAAATAGAAAATTTTTGTTNTTGTAAAATATCAATCATTTTTTCTATTTTCACGTTTTGCGATTATTTCTTTAATAATATTGGTGCACTTATTTCGAAGTAGTGAAAGATCTTGCATGATTGCAGAATCTATACAAATATCTTTTAGCAAAGGAACTAAATGATCTGCGCTAAGAAGAGCAACATTATTCTCTGCAAAAAATGCTGCTAATTTAATTTCAGCCCGTTTAACATTACTACTATAAAAATTAGCAAAGCTTTAAGAATTTTTAGGATTAACAAGGGTTTGAGTTTGACTTTGAGAATTACTCTGATAGTTTTTAATATGTTNTGTCCTCTGTGAGTGCCGTATTAAATCTGATTTACAGCATCTAATGGTGATATTGCACAAAATACAAATTGCTATAAACTAATAAATATATATTCGATCATAGGAGCCGATCGCTAGGTGTTGTGCGGAAATTATACGTGTATATATATCCACATATACGTGTTCACATGTAAATTTTTACACTTGAAATTCGAATTGAAATAACAATTCTAAATAATGGTAAGGACGCAAATGTGGCCGTTGAAGCAAAAACACTGTTGTGATTGTGCAGGAAATATATTTGTTTATTAAGTTAACAATTAGACGTTTCGACCCTTGTTTTGGGTCTTTATCAATAATCTAAAAAATGTATGTTGAAAAATATGTGTTAAAAGAACGCTGATCAAACGGATACATAATTATTACAATTAATGAAAAAAATTAATAATAAATGATCAAAAAACTTACAAATAAATAAGATGTTCATAGGAGAAGTGTCGAACAAACACAGTAAAGTCGACAGGCGTCAATCTCACACGAACATGACGACAATTGTGAGAATCAAACACAGTGAGCATTACTCCAATGAGATTCAAATTATAACAGTAAAGACTTATAAGCGGATAAGGATTTAATTATCGATGAACGGTAAGTAAGATTTATCTAAATTTTCCGTATCGCTATGTAGGTTGAGGCCATGTCTTTGACTTTTAATGTGTAAAGTTTCCGATATTAATCTTTTGTAATAAGACCTTTCTTGATCCAAAATGACAACTCCATCCCAGTTAAAGTCGTGGTTATAATTGATTCTATGTTCTGTTATAACAGAACTCTGAGTGGAGTTTCTGTTAATGTGATTCTTGTGTTCTCTAACTCTGGTTTGTAATGTTCGACAAGTCTGGCCTACGTAGGAAGCATCACAATCACGACAATTGATTCTATAAACAACGCAAGAATGGGAAAGCGGAGATAAAGGATCCTTCGCGACTTTGATAAATTTTGACAATTTATTAAGACTATAAAAACCATGGTGCAAGGATGAGTCATGTGGNAAGATGGAATTAAACCTATCAGAAAAGTTTTTATTAATATATGGCATAACAGTCCAACGGCTAGGTTTTTTCTCTAAAGTGTCAATGGTTAAAAAACTATTCAAATCGTTAGTTTTTAAAAAATTGTGTTTAAGTCGATGTTTAGTAACGTCAAATATAAAGTCAGGAGGGTAGTTATTGTCAACTAATATTTTGAAAACTAAGTCAAAATTTTTGTTATGAAAGTCCGGGTGAGATAAAAAGAAAGCTTTGTCTATCAGCCCTATAACTGTGCCTTTTTTCTGTTTAATAGGATGGTTAGAGAGAAAATTGATGTATCTGCCAGAAAATGATGGCTTGTGAAACCAATCATGGATTAACAGATTATTATTTTTAATGATGGTTATGTCCAAAAAATTTAGTCTATCATGGCCTATTTCCATGGTAAATTGGAGGCGAGGATGGTAGGAATTGAAAAGTTGGAGAACCAAGTCAAAACTATCTTTAGAAACCATAAGAGCGACGTCATCAACATACCTAACATAAAAAGGTGGTTTAAAAGGAAGCAAGATGATGGTGTTTTGTTCCAAATCATGCATCACAATGTCAGCTAATATAGGAGACAAAGCCTTCCGCTAATAAATAATTCAAGATTAATTTACGACCTTATTAAAAATTTTGAATACAACATAAAACCATTCGATAACAACAACAAGATAGATTGCCGTAACAGGTTCGTCTCTGTTCTTAGACAATTGAGAGGCCGTAAATTTCATAATTCTGATTCTGATAAAGATATTGTTCGAGTTTCGAGAATCACCAATTCATTTGTTAGACATCATTAGAATTTAGAATTAGAATTTATTTATTGATCCCCTTAGGGTTACAATTTCAGTACAATTTTAAACATCCTTATACTCTAACTTATTCTACATCTTATCCTGCTACGAACTACTAATCTCCATCGCTCGCATGCNTATTCTACCTATCGCACACACACACACCCTCACTATCCTAACCTATTTGGACCTCCGCTTCCGCCGCATTTCCCTTCCATTCACACATTCTCTCTATCATTCACTTCCCTACCATTCATTCCTTCTCGCTCAATCCACTCTTCTCTCCTCCTCCCTCGCATTCTCTAACAACCTCAGCCACTTTTCTCCCTCTCCATCTTCCCCCAGCACTCTTTCACACATTTCCTCCCAATTTCCCTTCGCCCCCCACCAACTACACTCTTCACACACGTGTTTCCACCCTTCCTCCCTTACCTCACACCACCTACATCTCCTAGCCTCCTCCTTCTCCCAATATCTTCCCCCCCTCATTTCATTTCCCAGT